TACTTCCTGGAGTCTCCACTGTCTGCCAAGACTAAATATGGGAGCATACACCTACATTTTCTTCTTTATGCTAAGCTTAGCTAATTGCCTCTTGGCTCTAGGTTTGATATCTACCCTTCACACATAAGAGTGGTATTGATTCTCTCATTTTACTGCCTTGACAGGAAAGAAAATGTTGGTTTGTCATCAAAATAAGTTTTGTGTAACCACGTTGGTTTCCAAATCAATAAGCAAGCAACTCGAATGTTTAGCCTTGAATATTGAAGTGGCAAAGGGTCAACAGGCCATGGTGGTGGGCTGTTACAGACCCGCCTCAGCAGTCAAGGAGTCTCTGTCGTCGTTGGCAATCCTTTTAACTCAACTTGACTACAAGGACATAGTGCTACTTGGCGATCTAAACTGGGACTGGTTAACTACAGTGTCAGAGGATCTTAAAAACCTTTGTATCTCTTTAAATGTTACTCAGATTGTAGACAGTATACTCGCCCTAATACTAAGTCCCCTAATAAATCCTCCTTAATTGATCTCATTGTAACTAATGTTCCCTATAAATACTCACCTGTGGGAGTATTTGCAAATTATGTGAGTGACCACTGTGCTGTAGCCACAATTAGGGACACAAAGGTTCAAAAGGGTAAACCTCGCATTATTATTAAGAGAGACACAAAACATTTTGTGGAGCAGGGTTTTGTACATGATCTGTTTGGTTTTGATTGGGGATAAATCGATCTGTGTGCTGATGTTGAAACTGCATGGTCTTATTTTTATCTCGGTTTTATGGAAATTATTGATAGACATGCACCCCTGCATACATTTAGAGTGAAGGGACGAGACAATCCTTGGTTTTCTGCTGAACTGTCTAGTCCTTGAGAGAAACAAGGCCTGGGCAAAGGCTAGGCAATCAGGCTCAGAGGTAGAATGGCTTCGTTTTAGGCAGCTAAGGAATAGCTTCACATCTCAAATCAAAAGTGATAAGTCTCAGTATTATTTTACCACAAAAAAACCTGAATAATCCTAGAAAATGTTGGAAAACCATGAAATCGATTTCCACCGGTGAAATCCGTAATGAGCTACCTCCTTGCCTTACCACAGCATCTGGCATTATATCGGACAGGGCCACATGTTAAATTGTTTTAATGAGCATTTTGTGTCCTGTGGCTCTCTGTTTGATTCTGTTTCTAACTCTGCTTCTGTGAACACCACAGTCTGTGACTCTGAACAATGTGGTCTGGAAAACCCCTTCAGTTTTTCTCCTTTTACTATTGAAGTCGTTCATGAAGCATTAACCAAGTTAGATCCTAAGAAACCGGCTGGCCCGGACAACGTAGAACCTTTCTTTTTAAAGATAGCTGCAGATTGTATTGCACCACCTCTTAAAGAAGCACCACCTCTCACTTCTCTTTTTAACCTCTCCCTCAGCACGAAGACAATTCCAAAAGTATGGAAGTCAGCTTATGTCCTTCCTCTACTAAAAGGAGAGGAGGCCACTTTATTAAATAATTATAGGCCCATCTCTAAATTGTCAGTTCTGGCAAAGGTTCTTGAACGCCTTGTGAGTGAACAGGTAAAGGTGTTTTTAAGTAACAATGACCTCCTATGTAAACATCAGTCAGGCTTCAGAAAGCAACATAGCACCATCACTGCGACAATGAAAGTGGTGAATGACATGACGAGTATTTTAGATAATAAGCAGAGTTGTGCAGCTCTATCTATTGACCTTTCCAAAGCGTTTGATACCGTCGATCATCGCATCTTACATTTTGATGGGCTGTCTTCTGAGTGGTTAAACATTACAAATGGTGTACCACAGGTCTGTTTTAGGTCACTTTTATGTGTGTNAGGGAGAGGCCTCTGGTGTGGGGACTGCTGTGTCTCTGCCTCTCATCCTAGGAGAAACATTTGATGTGTTGTCTATAATAAATCCTATGGATTCGAAGATTTTAAAAGGTGTCTTTTGTGTTATATTTGGGTCAGTGGTGGAATTTTGTTAGCTCCATAGGGCCATTTTGGTGGGGCGTAACAGATACTGTCGATCATCGCATTTTGAAGCAGAGGCTGGTCAGTATTGGCATATATCCAGCCATCCAGTGGGATGGTTTCTCTGAAAGGTCCCAATGTGTTCATTTTGATGGGCTGTCTTCTGAGTGGTTAAACATTACAAATGGTGTACCACAAGGTTCTGTTTTAGGTCCACTTTTATTCTCCATCTACATCAACAGTTTAGGTCAAAATGTCGATGGAGCAACTTTACATTTTTATGCGGACGATAACGTGATGTATTGTGCAGGTCCCTCCATTAAGAAGGCTGTTGTTAAATTACAGGCTGTTTTTAATATTATCCAGACCCATGTTCATATATAAAGCCATGTTGGGTCAACTCCCATCTTATATCTGCTCTCTGATCACACGGAGAGTTGCAAGTAGCTATTGCCTGAGATCACATGATGTAGTCTTGTTACATGTGCCAAGTGCAAGGACTGACTTAAGTACGAAAGCTTTTATGTGTGCAGCTCCTCTTGCTTGGAACAGTCTTCAAAAATATTTGAAACTGAGCAATTTGGTTCCACTGCATGTTTTTAAAGCTCGGATAGCTGAAATGCTCTTTGATACTGTTGGTATTTGTAAATGTCGATAGGTATGTAAATGTAGCCCTGTAAATATGATGTATGATGTCCTTTATTGTTTTATGTTGTTTTATGTTTCATTTGTAACCTACTTGCTGCAGGTCTCCCTTGAAAAATAGATCAATGATCTCAACGGGACCTACCTGTTTAAATAAAGGTTTTGAAATGAAATGAAAATGTTGAATTATTCCTTTAATGAATTTATTTCAACTTGGGTCTCATTATTAAAAATGTTCAAGGTTAGAATGATTGATTAAACTATCCAACAGTTCAACCAGTATATCCTAAAGTTGGCACACCTGAAATGTGCGCACAAAATCTGTTATTTAACAATAAAACTGTGTGAGCAGAACTATGTCAAATAATGTCAAAGTGTCAAACTGTGATAGATGTTTATAATGGCAGGTTTGGGTCATAATTTGCTTCTGCCCTTCATTTGTTCTTTAAAAAGTTTGATTTAACATTTAGTTTCAAACCTGTCTGATTTTCTGACTCCAGAATATTTCCTGAGTCACATAATTATACAGTAAATCAGTGTGAAAATATAACTCCACCTCACACTTTTACCACTGCCATATGTCATTTCAAAGCCAAAAATGCATGAAACTGTGCAAACACAGGGTGGGATTACAGATGTGACCCCGCAGCGCTCTTATTCATATTTAATGAGAGAGCAGGGCTCGGGAGGACTTTTATTTTCCGTGGAGGAGGCTGCAAACGAATCAATAAGTCATATAAGGAAGATTTACAGGGATCCACTCAAATACCCAGGAGGGCTTTGAACCTATCGTTGTGTGTGTGTGTGTGTGTGTGTGTGTGTGTGTGTGTGTGTGTCTGTCTGTCTGTCTGTCTGTCTGTCTGATGGACAGAAACACAAATCAAATGTGTTTCAAAGTAAATAGGGGAATGTTTTAAGGCGAAAAATGTTCATCACAGGTTAATGAAGTCACAGTTGATGTCTTTGAATGTCTTGTTTTGTCACAAAACTCGTTTTTTTAAGAGAAAATGGAAAATCTCAAACTTTGATGGTCTATAAATGGATTATCTTACCGTCCTCACACCGGCTGTACCCCTTCATTTCAGAATGATTTAAAAGTTGTATTGATCAAATTTAAGCTCGCCATCAAGATCTATCGCAGAACTTTTATCCAAACACCAGGAACCAGACGGCAGCTTTAGGTCTTCAAGTAAAAGTGATTCAAAATAAGAGTTGAATTTGAAATAAGAGGCTAGAAGGAAGCTTGAACTCGACTGAATCTGTACCATATTTCCAACCTTAAACCTCTTTTTATATGGACCTGCTTTTACGAAATTAGGAATCTCTTTTACAACTACAACCAGGACAGGACAGTAGCAAAACACGTTGCACACAACAACAATTACCCCAAGAAAACATAGAAGAACATACGAATATACCCAGTGACATTGATAGATTCACCATTTTGCTGATAAGAGCTTAAAAGTCAGGCAGACAGACAAATTCACTGAGTTTCAAGTCTTTTTGAAGCTTTCTTTCCCACTTCACTCATTAGGAACATACACCTAGACTAAATCATGCATCCAGACAAAGGCCTCAACACAACCTGCGAACGAGTGCATCGTCTACATGGGTCTGATGTTGAGCTGTTGTTCTCCCTCTGTTACATTATTATTTATAAATGTGCTCAGTTTAAACGTGCCACTGCGTCACTTGAGAGCTCAACACATAAATCATCCAGCAGATTAGTTATGTGCATGTTTTAAAAAAGATGATAAAATGCTGGGGATCAGTAATGTAGGCTTGGGATCCATCTTCAAACTGGAGAACATTCGTCTTGTACCTTTATATTTAAACGATAGTATATGTGGTAGAAAGGTCTCCTAATACCTCAGGTCAATTTGTTTTGTTTAGCTGTCAGCAGGATTACAAGGAAACTAAAAGCCCGATGTTCATGAAACTTGGTGAAAGGGTGTGATTGTGTGCCAAAGATGAACTCATGAAAAGTTGGAGCAGATCCAAATCCTGGGGCTGGAGTCCATGGAATAAAGCACCCTTTTTACTGAGTTAGTAAAGCATAATTCTCTCTTATTAAAAAATGTAAGATTCAAAGTCTTCATTGTTACACGCAACAAAAGCTAAGTGTATTTTTGGCAGTGAAAATCGAAGAGAAAATTGAAAAATAAATTGTGCAAGAGGGACTTATGTGCAAGTTAATGCAGGAATAAGTAACCTAAAAACAGGATGTAAAATGAAATTGTGTACAGTGGATTCAAATGCTGCTTATTGTGAAGATAATTGAATATGTGAGCTGTAAACAGATGTATGCTATAAACATCTGAAGGTGAAAGCATACACGGTATAATCAGAATTAATGTATGCACATTTTAAAGCGTTACCTAGTGATTGTCCTGCGATGACCCTGGAGTTCTCCCCGGTTACGGCCGCCCTGGCGTTCCTCTCGCTGGCGTACTGGACGAAGGCGTAGCCCTTGTGCACGGAGCAGCCCACGATCTTGCCGTATTTGGCGAAGATGGCCTCGATGTCGCCCTTGGTCACTACGGCCGTGTTCAGGTTGCCGATAAAGCAGCGGGAGTTGAGTGAGCGAGGGTCATTCTTGTTGGTCACGTTGCTGGTCTGGGTCTTCCCAGTCATCCTAGTCCTGCAGCAATGCCTGCTGGGAAACACAGGTGCACACTGCTCAGAGGAGGAAGGTTAGACTGTGGAGGTTACACACAGAGAGCAACATGTTAACTCTGGTCAGAGCAGAAAGCATGTGGCAAATCTCGTATTAGGCTTTATGGAGTTTTCTCTTTCATGTTCTATAGGTCTTTGTGCATGTAAATGGTTTGCAAAGGCGGAAAGTTCCCTCATAGGGGAATAAGATTGCCATTAAAAATGCACATTTGAGAAGAAAGCACATTGAATAAAGGACATTTTGTATGCAGGAAAATAGGAAGAAAACCTTCTGATTATTTAATGGTTAAAATTATTGAAAGAAATGTCCATTATTTGTTAACAGCTGATTACTTAATTGACCATCGGCTACACAATATTCTCCAGCTGTATTCTACATCCTGAGATCATATCTCTGTGAGCAAAGAGACTGAGACAGAAATCTTTCCGCAAGAGGTGAGAAGAAATCTGACAGGGCAGCTGTGATTCAAACGTGTTAATTGATAAATCTCATCTAAGAACTGTGTTCCCACGATTGAAAACAGCACATGAAGTCACTAGAGTCCTTTCTCACTGTTTCACCTCTTTTTCCATTTCATGCTACTATACCAACAGCTGAAGTTTGATTTTACATACCAAAAAAATGTATGATGATTAAAAATGGCACATTGTTAAAAATGAAACCTGTGATCTTATTTTACAACCTTCTTAATAACCCATTATTCACCATAGCAAAATTATAAACCTTCTTGGCAACCAACCTGATTCTATTCCTTTGTATAACAAACACACACAAGGACAGCTTCATTACTGTCACATAGAAACCAGGTCACATAAAATACAAATAAATGACACCTCCTTTGCAGGCTTCACTGTTTGTTCCCATAATGCAACAGTCCTCAGGGGGATCAGGATGTGACTTCTTGGAGTTCCCCGTTGGTAATGAGTTTTCAGTGTGTTTGTGTATCTTCCCACAATGAGGCTTTTAGATCCAGAATCCACATACTGTGCAAACAATATTATCCCGGGAGAAGCTCTCTTTAGGCTGGAAGGGCAGGAGAAATGGAGAGAAACTCGTAAATGTTGCATTTGCAGACCATTTACAAGCAAACAAACCTTTATAACAGGAAAGGGAAAACTAAAAGGGCACCTTTAATGTTCGCCCTACTATCTCAACGGATTGAGTGATGCAGATATTTTTAGTTAATCTGTTTATTATTTTATTTATTGTTTAGTCAGTAATATATATATATATTCAGTCTTTAATAATGAATAAAGAAAGCAGCAAATACCCATTATTAAAAAGCTTGAATACATTCGCATTTGCTTTTGTAAAAAAACACTGGAACAGTAATTTGATGATCTGATTTACTTTCCTATTAATTTGTAATTAGACTGTTTAATTGACAAGTAATGATATATTTTCTGGCTTCCTCCTATGATCCAAAGCGATGCAGCGCAGGTGAACGGCAGACGTGTGAGTGTGTTTTTATCTGAAAATGTTTTATGGCTCCAGCAAAACCCTGTCAGGGGCCTGAATACAAATTAGTTAGTATGGGGAAAGGACGGAAAAGATGTGATGATATGTATGGGTATTTTTCTAAAAATGTATCTCACACATCCTCACACACACACATTTCAGTAACACACTGCAGTCGACACACTTCCTGTCCCAATTTTCCTCATTGTACCTTTTAACTTATTTTATAACCCACATCATGTTTTCTAAATCTCTTTAAATCTCACAAAATTAAGGATAATTTACTTTTGGACCCATAATGTGACAACGCCGCCATTGGGTTTCCTGTAGTTGATTAACTTAATTATCAACAGAGTAGGAGGTCTAAGAAAAAGCCCATCAATCAACCAATCCAATCAAAACCCATTCAGTCCGTCTCTACCTTTGAATGAACCCCACAGCTCCTGAGTGACTGATGGATGTGAAGTGTGCACTCAATAGCCTCTTTCAAAGCAGAAGCACAGGGGTGAGGCCATTAGAAGTTAGATTAGAGAAGCAAAAGCACATTTTTAAGCAGTTTAATATCAGAAAGTGTGGTTTCACTCATTTAAGCGCATGCTGAGCTAGGAAATAGTGCCAAATGAAAGCATCAGATTTTTGCTCACAAGTTGAAATGTTTGAAAGAACAGCATTTGGTTAGAAATACTGAGCAGTTAGGAAGAAGTGAATAAAATATGATTAGGCTATTCAAATATTCATATTGAAATAGTTGAAATCAGAGAAATGTCGGTGATATGTAGCGTCTGAGTGCGGGCGTAAAACAAGCAGATAGACGCCCTTATACAATCATCTATTATATTAAAGGTCCCATGTCATGCTTTTGCGGTTATCACCCATCCCCTTGTGTGTTATGAAGGTTGTTCTGCATGTAAACGGTCTGCAGAGTAAAAACCCCTCAAAGTACACCCTGTAACGAGTAAAACTCTAACATAGAAAATACCTCTCTATGCTGCCCCAGAACGCCTCGTTGGAGATTTCTCTTTTTCCATTTGTTTCTTCCAAAAATGAACCAAAATGAACCAATCCGCTCCTCACACACCAGGGACCTTTAGCGTAAATGTTCAACTAACAGGGAGTCCCATTGACTTGCATATAGCTCCCTGAACGCCGGTAATAGACGAGTTGGGATCGCGGAGAAATGCTCTCCGCAGACCCATTCTCACAACATTAAAAACCTTTTTCCTTTTTTCTTACTCAACATCAAGCACACTTATTGTTTTTTAATTCGGCTGTGAGTGTTTATGTGTGCTCAGGATGAGTTTCGCGCTGTCTCGCTGTATTGTCGACCCGGAAACCACACCAGTAAGCCAGCTCACTGAGCAGCGAGCCTCGCAACGTCCCGACCAATCAGAGCACACTGGGCCCACAGGGAGGGGGGGGGNCCTCCCTGAGACGGCGGGACTGCAGCAAGGCTGCGGGTGTGTGTGTGTGTGTGCTCGGGCTGGTTTCGGGCTGGGTTTCGCTATCTTGCAGACGGCCACTGAGCTATAGGGAGGGGGGGGGGGCAGGATCTCCAACAAGCCGTTTAGGACAGAGAGTGAATACCTGGTGAATACACATACTATAGAGATGCTGTATGAGAAATCAATGTGAGTTTGGAAAATTGCACAATATAAATCTATTCTATTAGACCTCAACAATGGAATTATGATCAGTAGAAATGGCATGGGCCAAAAAACAGTCAGTTAAATAAAAAACTTGTTGAAGTATTATTTATTTAGAGTTTAAAACTCATAAAAGGGCTGTGTGTCTGTTGTGTGATCTGATTTAAGTAGAAATCAGTCATGTGAAATAAACAAAATTATAGAGTAAGTATAAAGCTACTGCAAACAGCCATGCCTTAGCTTAGCTTAGCATTGTGTCAGAGAGTTTTTGGCAACTTGGTCTCCTCTCAAGGATACATAGAAACGTTGTGTTTGATTAATAAGCCTTTTCTTGCACCAGCACATCAATCCAGAGCACTTCTTTTAGTGCACTTATCCGCTTTGGATCCTCACAATGTGCATGTGTGCATATCTAACTGTGAATATTTGTATGTATAACAAAAAAATGCATGTTCATCTATATAAAAAAAATAAGCTCTAAGACGCATTAGAGGATAACTTATAGTCTTAATCAGTCGTATATGTTCTGCACGTTGTTGTTCTTAAATCATGTAGTGCCTATTATATCTATTGTATATTCCTACCTATTTAGATAGATGACAACATCTAATTGAAGTTTATTTGCCAAAAATAACATTGCTCTTTTCACGACATCCCGGTAGATCCAGTTTGCCTGTTTTGTAATGGCTTATTAATTATAATGGTTTTTACTGAACAACAACCATTTCATAGCCTGATGGACACTACTTCCAGACTGTTACCCTCACTGATCTCCTGCAGCTGGTATAACATTCAATCTACAGGCAATCTTTATTTGCATAAGCAGCTTATCGTCTCTATGTCTCCACATGAGTCAACATTAACACTCCAGAGATAATACAGCACTAGTTTGCCAATTACATGTTTTTAATAAAATGACAATAAAGAGTTTTACATTAATCCTCTAGCTCAAAATATCAAGAAACAAGACTTCAAATACGTTTCTTTTACAATATTCATGAGTATCTAACATCCTCAAAGTCTTTTAAGAGGAACATGTGGAATAACTGCTGGCACAAGGTGGTGGAAACATCCCAGGCCAGAAAACACACTCACACTGAATTCATATCAGCCTGATAGGCAAGAGAGGAGAGAGAGAGTAGTTTGGATTCATCCTGGCTTGCTTCATGCTCCAGAAATTAATGCTAAATAACATCTTCATGCATCAGTGAAGCAGTGAACGCATCCCCAACTCATAACTGACATGTTTTTCCACGCATAGACGTGTTGTTTGTCTGGTGAAAGTCTTTCTTATATCAGCAAAGTGAGTGCTTGACAGTGATGTTTTTTCTTCGGGGCTTCTACAGCATCCTCCCGTGTTGCGGAGGTTCCAAGCATTTCATGGATCCTCTTTGGTCCTTTCACACCGACTGTCAGGGGCTTCAGAGTCTGAATTCTCTGGAGATAAAGAAGCGAGGAACTGGTGAAAGTAATCATTTTAGCACTTCCTGTCTCCCTGATCTCTCCTCACTGACTCACGCTCCCTCCCGTCAGAGAAGAAAAAGATGAAACCTCCGCCTTCAATCTGACAAATACATATGGGATGTGATGGATGCATTCAGGCCACACTCACTCTCCGCCGCTTGAATGTTGCAATGCAGCATTTTATCTCAACAGCGTAGCATCTCACCTCAACTGTCGCCAACAGAGGAAAATAAGTTCTATTTAATCGCGTCCCCTTCTGCTATCATACTCGGGAGACAGACGACTCGCAAACTAACTCTCAACTTTTAGTGACTCCCTGGAAAAATATATATGTCTGCATGCAGAGAATGAAATATGGGTCTATAATAAGCCTGTTTTTATTCTTTTTGCCTCGATCTTTTTTGAATGACAGCC